GGCGGCGGAGGGGGAGGTGGCGGGGGCGGTGCCGCTGCAGGTGCTGTACCCGGCGTCGGCTGAGCATCGGGAGATGGCACGGGAGGCATCTCTGGAACTGGAGGAATCTCCGACGCCCGTTTCTCCCTCTCCTCGGCCTCCGGGGAAGTAGTCCTCCGCCTCGTGAGACGAAGCACGGATAGTTCTGGCGCGCTGCAGCACCTGCGAGGCAAAGCTCGCGCGGCGAACGGGTGCACCGAACGTCATACCAGTCTCCAGCAGAGTCTGGCGGACAGCGTCGGCAACGTCGGGGTCCTCGTCATTGAGCTGCACGATAGCTGGAGCCGAGACATTGCGGTGGCTGACACGGTGCCTGATCTCCTCGAGGAAGCGGGGAGGCAGGGCGGGCTTCTTGGACGAACGGAGAGCGGACTTCTCGTGGATGGGCGGGGCGCTGGCGTCCTGCGAGCGGCGGGCCTCGGTAGACGAACCACCGGCTTGAGGTCCCTGTCCGGAGATAACTCGGTCGGCGCCAGAGTCGAGAGACTGCTGGATCTGCGCTCGGATGCGCTCCTCGGGCGACTCGATGTGCTGCGACGAGCGTGAGCCGCTGCGCGAGTGTGAGTACACCTTGGAGCCACGAGACAGGCGAGCACCAGGAGAGCCGCCAGCAGCGACGGCAGGGTCGCGGGACAGCGCCTTCTGAGCTCGGGAGGCACGCTTCTTGCGGGCCTCGAGCAGACGAGACTCTGAGTGCTGGCCCTTGATACCCTCCAGGATCTCCGCGTCGTCGCTGTCGTAGTCATCTTCCGAGCCGCCTTCGAAGGTTTCGTTGTCGCTAGCAACGGCGTCTCCGTCCTCGGCCTCGCCCTCGGCACGCGAGCCTGCCTTGCTAGGGCGGCGCTTCTTACGGCCCTCCAGTTTCTGGATAGTCTTCTTACGTTCCCACTGTTCGCGGAGCTGGTGGATCAGCTTCTCGCGGTTGATGGGGCCGTTGGTCATGGACTGGACCTGGTCGAGGTGGTTGGCTTCGCGGAGCATGTTGAACAGCTCCTGGACGTAGAGCTCGAGGTCGTTGATGCGGTTGTCGTAGTCCTTGCGCATGCCGCTCATCTGGTCCTCCAAGCTCTGCGTCGCAGCTCGGGATCTCCGGAGTCGCTCCTCGAGCTCGGCAATCTGCGCCTTCAGACGTCCAACAAGGCCCTGGTCTCCAGCAGCAATCTCGTCCTGGAGATCAGCTTTCTCGCGCTCCATACGCGCGAGCTTGGCTCGGATTTCGCGAGTTTCGGATTGAGAGTCTTGCAGCTGTTGCTGATCGAAGAAGCGGCCGAGGACATGCGGGATCGACTGGCCGAACGCGCGCGTCCAGTCCTGGTTGAGCTCGGGAGAGTCGTGCATGACGACATTCTGAACCAGCTGATCGATGAGCTGGTACATTCGGTTCTTCTCCTCGCCCTTCTCCTTGATCAGCAGCATGTGGCGCATAGTGTCGACAAAGTAGGATCCGGCAACGGTTCCATCGGTTTCGCGCAGAACAGCATGGATGACCTCATTCGGCGTGTTGAGAGCCTGAATGGGCTGCGAGTTCTTCTCGGCGGACAGCTCACGAAGGTCCGTGGCGTGCTCCTCCTCGTAATCCTTGATCGACTTGGTGATGTCGGGGTTCTTCCACTCCTTGAGCAGACTGAACACCTTTGGCAGCTTGGCGAGATCCAGCTGGTTACGGACCGACACGCGAGCGCGGGTGTCGCTCGCCGATGCGAGACCAGACGCGAGCAGGACCATGGTAAGCTGTGCGTTAGTTGCTGGCCCAGGGCTTAAAACTTACGCAGTAGTCGTTAATCTGGACCTGGTCCATGCCCTTGGTTAGCTGTCCTTGGCCGACAGTAGAACCCATGCGACCGCGGTGGTAGACAAAGTCCTCGGTCTGGCGCAACCAAAGCTCAAACTTGGACACCTTGTGGCTTAACGAGTTGTGCTTCTTGTTGTGCTCGCTCTCCAGAGCGTCGAACGCGCGTAACACAAGCGCAAGTCCTCGACGGTCTGGCGACGTCTGGTCATGCCAAGCGAAGAACGTGAGGATCTCTGCGGCAACCTTGCGCGTGGGCGGGTTGGGCGAGAGCAGCGACTTGGCAATAGCTTCGATGACTGGAGGGTTGTGCAGAGCATCATTAACGCCAATCTGAGAGAACGTCAGTGCGACTGACCCAAACACGCCATCATCAGATGGCCATCACTGTGACTCACAACGTTGTTCAGCGAGCACTTGAAACACTTCAGTGTCTCTAACTCCAGACTGTCGTCTCCCGGGTTGTAGAACTTGCCGTCCTTGGCCTGTACACCGCTGAGGTACTTGGCGAGAGCGACCTGTCCTTTGAGCGAGAGGAAGTGCTGGACCCAACTGGAAGTGTCAGTGCTGTGTCATGTGCCAGTGAAGAAGAAACTCACTCGGCTGCGTTAGACCGGATGCTGACGTTGAGCGTCGTCAGGTCCGACACGGTAATGTCGCGATCCAGCATCTTGCGCACGATGTACTCGGGCTGGCTGCGGTCGACAGTGCGAGCTTGCGACCGCGGTCGTCCCGATCGAATGGCCTCGATCTCCTTGCGCTGCTGCTTCCTCGCCTTCTCCCACTTGGCTTTGCGGTCAGCCTCCACCATCTGCCACTTCGTGTCGATCGGCAGCGTTGCTGTCGCCCGGGCGACCGCCGAGTTGACGGAAGCCTGTTGTGTCATCGAGTTGCGAGTCGACAGTGATCCAGCGTGGTCCAGATTACGGCTCTGCACGAGGTCGAAGAACAGCCGGTCGATCTCTTCGTTAGAGGGTCGAGGGAAGTGGAACTCGTTGGGGACACGGTCACCCTGCTGCCCGCTGGCAGTTCTCGAAGACTGAACCGTGTGGTGCGAGGACAGCGAGTGGTTGGAAGCCGCATAAGACGAAGCGACCGAGCCGCTGAGGTTGGCCGTCGTAGTCGAGTGGCCGCTGATGGTCGAATAAGCGGAGCCTGTGGGAGCAGGCGTCGATCGTCCCGTCGTAGCACCAGGGGTCGAGTGCCCCGAGTTGGCCGAGTGTCCAGACATGGCGGAGTGAGTCGACTGGACAGAGTAAGACTTGGGTAATGGGTTGCTTTTGTTGTACGACGTGGTGGGTGCGGCGGACGTGCCTGTCGCAAAGTTGCCACTGGGGACTAAGGATATCGAAGACGACGAAGGCGCGGGCGCGGTCTGGTTGTAGGAAGTCGCAACCGACACTGTCGACGAGTTTGCTCCGGCATTCGACAGAATCGGGTTGTTGCTTGCGGAGCGCTTCGACTTGGACGGCGTCCGAGGAGGCTGTGCTGGCGACGATGAAACCATCTTGACGGACGGCTGGCGCGTGGAACCGCCGGGAGGAGGAGTGGAGGCCAGCGAGCGAGCCTGCGACGACGGCACCGAGGGAGCAGAAGACGCAACAGATGGCGTGATAGACGGCGTGATCGAAGGAGCGATTGAAGGTGCGATAGAAGGAGCGATGGAAGGAGTTGTTGAGGGAGGACGCATGGGTACCGTGTTGGTCGGAGGCGTTGGAGGCACGGACGAAACCCCTGTCGCTGCGGATGAGCCGCTCGCCGCAGTCGGAGTCGGTACCGGCACTGTGCGGATGCTGCTCTTGCGTTCGCGCTCTGCGGGAGTGATCGACGGCGTCGGGCCGGTGGTGGACGAGATGGACGAGCCGGGAGTCGACGTGTGGACAGCCCGAATGCTGCTCTTCCGCTCCCTCTCACCAGCGGGAATCGGTGGTGCAGACACAGCTGAAGGAAGAGTCGATCCCGCTCCAACGGCAGGTGACGATGGAACCGCCCTAATGCTGCTCTTGCGCTCGCGTTCTCCTGGCGTGACGGGAGGCGGCGGGGGAGTCGGGTTGGAGGAGGGGAATGTGGAGGCTGGTTGTTGTTGCGATGTTGAGCTTGCCGAGTTGGTGGAGGGTACTACCCGGATACTGCTCTGACGCTCCCGCTCGCTGGGCTGCAGTGTCGGTACCGGCGAAGGGAGAGGCGGCTCGTCTGCTGGGGTCGACGACTGCACGATGCGAATGCTGCTCTGGCGCTCGCGCTCACCACCGGCGTAGCTGTTCTGGCGATCCCGGTCGATGCTGGCAAAGCTGCTCTGGCGCTCGCGGTCAATGCTAGCGAAGCTGCTCTGGCGCTCGCGATCGATGCTGGCGAAACTCGGCTGGCGATCCCGGTCAACGCTGGCGAAGCTAAGCTTGCGATCCCGCTCGTTGCTGGCGACGCTTGAGACCTTGGACGACGTCCTTGCAGCCGACTGTGCTGGAGGAGCAGGCGCAGTTCCGGCTCCAAGAGAAGCTTGACGCGATGGAACGTTGAGGTTGTGCGAGCCCGAGCCCCTGGACGTGTCGGCGGCGCTTGACTGGCCTTCCGGCTGCTGGGTGGTCGCAGTGGTTCCAGCGTGGGCGCCCGATTGCTGCTGGCTGTGTGACGATCGTGACTGGCTTGGGACCTGCTGAGAAGGGTGACTCGGGAGTGGAGGCGGGGGCATGGACGACGCCGCCGAAGCAGCGCTCGGGGTCCGTTGCACTGAACCTGCAGAGTTGACCGTAGAGGTTGTGCTGAATGTGCTGAGCGTGCTCGGGTTGCGCTGCAGCTGGGACGAGAGCGAATTTGAGCTTGGTTGCCGCTGAAGGACCGAGCCAACCGATAACTGCGATCCCCCGCTAGGGTTGCGCTGTAACGATGGCGGCTGGTGACCGTTGTGGTGGAAGGAGGAGGGAGGAGGGCCGCCGGCGAGATGCGAGTGCTGGTGATGCGGCGAGTGCTGAGACACGAGACTGGTCGTCGAGTAGGTTGGCGACGTGTGACCGCCGCCCATGATCTGCCCGACGCCGACGCCCGTTGAGACATGTCCTGGTGGAGGTGTGAACGGCAGCGACGCGTACGAGCCAGCAGACGTCGGAATCGCGCGAGAACCACTGGGAAGGACGCCAGAGTTGGAGCCGAAAGACGACTTTGTCAATGTCGGGTACCGTCCGAGCTCGTCGTTGGGCTTGTGAATCGTGTCGGCTACCGTTGAAGCCGAGGTCATCGAGGTCATGACCGAAGCATTGTCAGAGCTTCGCCTAGCGCGTCCGTACCCTCCAAACTCCGAAGTGACGTTCAGGCTCGACGGCGACCGATGCTGGTAGGGCGAGAAGCTGCCGTTGTTGTCCTCGTAGCTGGAGGCCATGTCCTCGGTCTCCTGCACGACGAACTGGTGCTCCTCGAGGTACTGAGCATAGCCATTGCCGTGCATGCCTTGGGACGGAGCCGAGGGCGACGGCGGGACGGCCATTGGGCGCGACGTATATGAGTGTGAATGTTGCTGGTACTGGTGATCTGTTCCTCGCGGGGTCTCGATGGTGGGGCTCGTCGACTGTTTATGGGATGTCGAGGAGCTGCTGGTGGTGGAAGCAGAAGTCCTGGCGCTCTGGCGGGACTTGTGCTTATTCGGTGTTCTGTTGCCAAAGAACGATGCCATTTCGAGTAGACGACGACGAAGTCGGACGCGCGCGGGCTAAACCTCGGGGCGACTGGGTGTGTACCTGTGGACGAGACTGTGTACAGGGAGTGGAGAGGGAAAGGGATAAGGGTTTGTCGGATGAAGCAGACTGGGGCTCACGCGCTCGCGCGGTGCGCCATCTTCCTGGCTTGAGGCTGAGAAACGAGTGGTGAGTGAGAAAGTTGTGTTGAGATGAAGACGGTGCAGGTGTCGGCTTGATTCGTTTGTCCTAGCGCGAGGGATGGGTGGTTGAATGAATGGGAGTGTGGTTTGGTAGAAGGGTCGTTTGGTTGTTGTACGCGATGTTGTAGATGGGATGCCGTGATGTAGATGGTTGTGATCGATAGTTGAGGTCTAAGGGAGTGTCTTTGTCGATGAGGGACGGGTGTGATGTGGGATGTGATGAGGAGAGGATGAACGGCGAACGTTGGGTGCGGCTTGAGGCTAGGGCCGGGAGGGGACAGGAACATAGTCTCGCAGCTAACGATTCTCTTACATGATGCCACGACGTGCACGGATCGAGCGCGTCCTGAACCACCACCCACCGAACCCTCCACCCGCCCTAACCGTCCTGACCTCTATCCTCAGCCGGGACCATTTCATCGCTGATTCCATCGACCTCCAACTTCATCTACTCATCATCCACCATGGCCTCCTACGACGACATACAAGGCGCATGGGGCCCGCCGACAGCCCCCGCCACCCAATCAGCCGACGCCGACGTCTCCGTCGCCGACGCCATCCAGAAGGAGAAGATGATTAAGGACTGTCTCAACCTCCGCGATGGCCTCCGCGGCCTCCTCGTCCGCATCACAGAGGTCCAGGCCGACGCCGACAAGCTCGCAAAGGACAACGAGTTCCTCGGAACGTACATTGACAACCTGTGAGTTTGGCTGAGGTTTCTCCGTATATGCATGTCCGAGCGTAAGCAGAATGCGAGGGCCGAGCGAAAGAATGTGTCGGTCTTCTTGTCTGACCGCCGCGCGGGGAATGCCCAGGCCCGTCTGCCGGCGCTCGGACCGCTCTCCCTTTGCCTATCGGCCATTGCGTGAAAGCGTTAGATGCGCATGCGTGGGCCAGACCCACAGTACCCACTGCATCTACCTAATGGCACGACGACTGACGCACAGGACCCGCAACACGGTCGTTGCCGCGGGACAGAACCAGAAGCGCTGAGCAGAGCCAGCGCGCCAGCAGAGCCTCCATAGGTAGCGGTCACCACGGCCCTGCGCGGTCATCGCCCCCGCCATTTGTGCATACCTCGAGGCCGCGTTAGACGTTTCAGCCTACGCTCCCTCCTCGGTCTCCCCTTCCGCAACTTGTTGTATCCATAGCCATTTGATGTACATAGCATATAATCAGTCCACGAGGGTAACTGCTCAGCTCAGCTGGCAGTGAGATAACAGGCCCTGGATGATGATGCTCTGGAACAGGCACTGCAACGGCCGGAGTTGCACACAGGCCGATGTGCATGATGTGAAGCAACTGGAATCATGCAGTGCCGCTTGTGCTGACGCGTGCAATGTGCTAATGAGCGGTCTGTTGTGCAGCTAGAGCGCTATGCTAGATAGTAGGCTGCCCGCATCCCCGCCAATGTCGAGACGTGTCTCGCGTGTCGACCTCCACCGGACCTCCACACGTCACGAGCCTTCCCTCTGTTGTTCCACCCCAGACAATCCAAGACTCTCCCACTCCCACCTCCAGTCTTCACCTTCGGGGCCATGTCGTACTACCTGGCCATAGTCAGTCCGCTCGACACGCCCCTCTTCGAGCTGCAGTTCTCCTCCGCGCGGCCAACCTCGACCTCGTCCGCACACTTCGTCTCCTGGTCCACCTTCACGGGACACAATGGCTCGGACTTGACGCAGAGCCAGACGCAGCAGGTCGCCCAGCAACAACAGCAGGAACAGCAGCAGCAGCAGGCCAACCTGGTGCTTGGGGGCGGGGAGAAGTATGTTCTCCAGATGATTGCGCATGCGGCGTTGGACTCTGTCGAGGAGGTCGCAGATGGAACGGGGAGCTTGTGAGTAGCACTGAGCCGAGTGACAGAGCGCCGACAGGCGCGATTGTGTACTGTGGTCTTCTCTCCAGAGCCTTGTCCGGGGTTGTGACGGATACAAGGATGCAGGAAGCTATATAAATGCCCATGAGCTAACAGACAGGTATCTGAAAGCCGTCGACCGGCATAACGAGTGGACCGTGTCCGCCTTCCTCGCGACAAATGGTGGGTCCTTCTCAGCTGCATACTGCACCACTTTGTGAGCTGACGAGCAGTCAAACTGATCCTGCTGCATGATACGAAGAACGACGACGGCATCCGGCTATTCTTCGGCGAGGTGTGGGAGCTGTACACCAAGGTGAGCACAAGAGCTGAAGCGATATTTAGCAGCTAACGACCAGGCCGCGCTCAACCCCTTCCACACGGTCAACACGCCGATCCGCAATCCCCTGTTCGAGACAAAGGTGCGAGCGGCCGCGAAGCGCTTCTTGTAGTTGTATGCATTAGACTGAGGTTGATAATCTACAGGGCTGGAGGGATTGATGGCTGGATGCCATGTGTATAATCGACGGTTATGACTGACGCGAGTGGTCTGTCGATAGCTGACGATAGCTGAAAAGTGACAAGCGTCGGGGGCCACAAAGGAAGGCAGGCGGAGACAGGAGGGTAAATGGCGGCAGAGAGAGCGAGAGGAGCGTGGTGTGCTGAGCGGGCAACTGGCTTGCCGTCGAATGTATCTAGCGGATCCTCTGAGGAATGACTGCTGCAGACGATGCACTGCGAGGTCACGCTTGCCTGCTCCTGCACTTGATCAGCGGGACTGATTCGTTACAGACCTCAAGTTGCATTGCAGCTCGGGTGCCAGGATTCAGGAGCAGCCTTGACATTGCGGACCACAGCCCTCCCAATCTCTCTCGTCACTGCTCTTTCACTCTCGTCACTGTCTCGCCTTTGCCCTCCCCCTCTTCCATCCGTCACCGACCAATGGACAAACACATGCACGTCGCACACGTGGATCTTGATATAATGCATGCTATCTTGCTTTCTAAACGTTTTGGGTTGTTGGCTTAGGCAAACTCCTTAGCCGAACCGGAGATGAGCAGGCCGACTGTTTCGTCAGTTCTTAGTCCACTGCTGTAAACTCACCAATAAGGCCAAAGAGACCGAGGACCGAGCCAAAGATCTGTACACGTCGTCAGCTACTCCGTGAAGCACGTAGCTTGAAATTGGCTTACCTCGATGATGAGAATCTTGACGAAGAGAGAAGGGTCAGTCGCGTCCGAGATGGCGGCAGTCGAGCCCGAGATGCCGACGCAGAGACCGCAGAGCAGGTTGCAGAGGCCGACCGTGAGGCCGCCCCAGAAGATGGAGAAGGCTGATTGTCAGCTTGGTGCAAGAATCAGGTAGCTGTGGCGCTATCCTCCTTCTTAGCGCCACACCACACCACTACACTACCACCATCTCGCCCCGACCTCTCCAACTCACCAGTGTAGTAGTTCTGGTCCGCGTCCGGCGTCTTGGACGCCTTGAGCTTCGAAGAGAAGACGATAGCCATGATTAGGCCGTAGATGGCCACCACTATTACGTAAGCGCGATTCCGGGGAGCGTCCTACCTTCACAGAAGATGATCCTGCGGATGTCAGTTGAGGTTTCGTGAGGAGGTGGGATGGAGATGCCACTCGACGGAAGCAAATTCCGACCGCAGATCGCTACTACTCACGAAATCAGGTTCTTGGTGCGGATACGCGGCGCGCGCACTCCTCCGCCGACAATGGACGCGCCAGTGATGAAGATTCCCCTGCGTTGTTAGTTAAGGACGGCGGAAAGGTGAGGTGTTGAAAGTCGGTCGGGTGGCTGGCCGACATTCCGGGTCCGTTTCCGTCCAAAGGATCGGGCTGTCCCACACTTGCTTCGTGTACCCAGTAATAGAAGAGAGATGAGCCCTTGTGGAGCCTTAAGGTGCACTTGAAGCAGAGAAAATGAAAGTCCGAGGAGGCGAAGTCGAAGTCGAAGCCGCAGCGGCCGATCGGAAGAGGTACTCACCATCCCGCGCCGATGACCGAGAAACCGACACAGAGCGCAATACCAACAAGCGCCCAGGCGTACGGAGACGTCTCATGGAGGAACTTTCCAAAGTCGAAGCGGGATCCCTGTCCTGGAAAAGACATCAGCATGAACACTTCCGGAGCGCGATCGAGCTCGCGAACGTGGTTTAGGTGCACACTCTGCGCTCGCTGCCGCGCGCCGGCTGTTTTCAGCAGCATACTCACCAGTGAGGAGCAGGTAGAGACCGTAGACGGTCAAGATGGAGAGACCGACGGTGCCGTAGCCGTAGGTGGTGTAGCCCATGTTGGATGGGTTGAGCCGCTGGAGAGAGATGGGATGGATCCAACGAGATGCGGTGTGCGGTGTGTCGTCAGTCTGTCGTCGGCTTGGAACTCAGGGTTCGGCACGGCTCTGTCGCGTGGCGGTGAGTATTACAGAATTCTAATCGAATGCAGTCTAATGCAGGATTAGACTAACGCATTAGACATTCCTCTGCATGCGAAAGACACGAACGACAGTGTGTGCGATGGAGTCTTCTCAGTGGCGGCTTGCCTTATCGCCCGTCGTCCAGCATATCAGCGTGAGGCTGAGATCTGTCTTGGGCATACCGCACGGGGACAAGCGAGCGCAATTCCCTCTTCTGCGAAGGCAGCATGGCCGTTGCTGTCCTTCCTTTGTTGTCAACTGGCCTCCTGACTAGGAAATCGGAAGATCAGTCAGATCGGGGCAGATGCAAGAGCATCGTCGCAAGATAGCGAGGACCGCTGATCGTAAGCCGCATGCCTGAGGGACAGCGGCGCAGAGCCGTGTCGGCCTTGCTTCCCTGTGACTTGGAGTCCAAATCCGGCATGCCTGGCTGCCGCACACGACACACCCCTCCGGCCACTGCTGTGTGTCACTCATTGTTGTACCAGATGTTGTCGCATGAGTGACAATGGTAGACAAGTCACCCTCTCGCTCTTCCTCAAGATTCGGGAAAGCTATGGAGCTGGCTCATCAGCCAAAGAGGGCGAGCGATTGTTGACATGTTTTGTATTAAGGCGTAATGAGATTATCGTAATGCCATTTAGAAAAGGAGTTGATGTCATAATTACCCTGACTATTGACGGACCCACAACCGCGATCCAGTGACGAGTGACGCTCACACTCGCCCCCAGACAACCAAGCCCAAGCACCAACAGACCACGCTTGTTGCTTTGTTCACTTCCTCCTTGTCGCCGCCAACGATACTCACATCGATACCAACCCCTCACTCGACCACCGTCGTCTTGCACGCACCACGCGTACAGCCCTTTTACCCACTCTGACGCGGCCCCACTGATTCCCACCCGGCATGAGCAACGCCGACGACAAAGCCAACGCCCCTGCCTCCCCCTCGACGCCGGCTGCGACCGCACCAGCATCAAACGAGACGCCTCCTCGCGGTATGTCCCCTTTTGCCACCTTTAGCACACCATGCTGACGTCCTCTGCAGAATCGATCTCGCTCAAGCGTGGACGAGAAGGCTCCGTTGTTCGTACCGTGCTCATGCGCATTTCGGCGCGCGCAGACGCTCCATTGCATATTTAGCTGACAGTAATTTAGGACCCTCAAGCCGCCCCCGTCGCGCCGATACCCCCTAAGAAGAACCGCTTAGAAGGGGACGTGCTGACCCGTTCTGATACGAAGGACTCCGATCTTGTCGCCGACGTCGCTGAGACACCTGGGCGGGATAACGAGGCGCACAGCGATGAGGACAGCAACGGCTCGGCAAAGGGTGACGGCGAGCCAGCAGCCGCCAACAAGAAGGAGGGGCAGACTGTGAAGGAGGTTCGTCGCAAGGTCGAGGAGATGAACTGGAAGGAGGGCGAGAAGCCGAACGCTGCTGCCGCCGCTCCCTCTGAGGAGAAAGAGGAGGAGCCTGAGAAGAAGAGCGAGGAGGGCAAGGACGACGACTGGGTGCAGGTTGATAAGAGCGAGGCCAAGGACGACGAGGAGTCGACGCTTAAGCGCAAGGCCGAGGTCGACGCCGAGGGCGACAAGAAGCGCAAGTCGACATCTGTGAGTTGCTCTTTGCATTCCTCCCCGTGAGCCTGGAACTGACATCAACAGCCTGCGCCTCCAGAACCTGCCGCGGCTGAGCCCCCGAAGAAGCCCCAGGCGACCTTCGGCGCCTTTTCGTCCAAGTCGTCACCTTTCGCTGCTGCCTAAGGCAGCAAGTCATCTCCTTTCGCCGCCGCGGCTGCGAGCTCGTCACCGTTCGGCGCTGCTGCCGCCAAGCCCAACGCTCTCGACAGTGGCTCCTCGACCCCGAATGCACTTGACACGGCCGCGAAGAAGCCCTCGGCCTTTGGATCGTCCGGTTTCGGCAGTTTTGCGTCCACGTCGAGCCCGTTCGCGAAGAAGCCCAGCACGACTGAGGAGAAGAAGACTGAGACGTCGACGAGCTTCGGCGACATCCTGAAGGAGAAGGGCGACGCGGTCGAGGAGAAGAAGATCCAACTGGACAAGCAGGACAGTGAGTGTGCATCGCGTCGTGTGATCAGCGGTGGCTGGAACAGGCGTGTTTGGACCCAAGCAGGGCGCTGACATTTCAGTTCCCACCGGAGAGGAGGAGGAGGACACGATCTACCAGACGCGCTGCAAGCTGTACGCACTCGACGACCAGGGCGGCTGGCGTGAGCGCGGAGTCGGCAATCTCAAGCTTAACAAGCACAAGGCGACCGAGGCCGCCCGGCTTGTCATGCGCTCCGAGGGCGTGCTGCGCGTCATCCTGAACGCGTCGCTGTACGTCGGCATGACCTGCCTCGAGGACGGCAAGCATGTGCGGACGACAGTCTTTGAGGGCAAGGACAGGACCTTCATCACCATCAGGGTAAGCTTATTCTTTGCTGCCTTGAAGCTGACATCAGACTGCAAACCCCAAGGTCGCGGCCGAACTCGCCTCGGCGATCCACGAGCACACGCCTCTGCAGTCCAAGGCGAACACGAAGAGCCCCAGCCCGCAAAAGACCACCACCACGTCGGCCGAGGACGCTGTCTGACCTAGTATTAAGACATATATATGCATGTAATCACTGGCTGATGGCTGACGTACAACTTGTGCTGAAGAAGTCTAACTATGGAATATCTAATCGCGTTCTACTCATTCTACTCGTGTTCCCCACCCACCTCATTTCTGTTCGTCTCGGTGGCAATCTCGCAAGTGGAGGGCGGAGGCTACCATGCGCCACCCTTGACGCCGCTCAGCGTCCGGCTCCCCTTCAACCCTCCAACGGCACCAACATCGACGGCGCTGGCGACCAAGTGGCCAGGAAAGTACCCAATAGTGCTAGTGCGCAGGTCATAGTGGCTCCCGCCCGGCATGCCGGCATACACACTGGGCACATTGTATCCAGCACTCATGGGCGCCTCCCACCTCCTCCCGTGCCCTCCGCCACTCATCTCGATTTCGCGCGGCGTCATGTCCAACTTCTCGGGCGGCACAGGCGGCAGTGGGCTGAGCCGGTCCCGCTCGCCAAAGTCGAGTTTGCCCAGTCCATCCAGGTCCAGCTCGAGTTTCTTCGGTTTTCTGCCAGAGCGGCGGAAGTTGCCCCCCGTCAGTGCGCGCTTCACTTTCGTCCAGCCGCGCTTCTTCTCCTCGGGCTCCGTCACTGTCACGGCCACAGCGGTCGCAGCTGCTGGTGGGGCCGGATCCAACTCGGCCATGAGCATTGTGCGGCTCATACTCGCCTGACGCGGGGGCAGGGGCGGGAACTCGGGCTCGGTCGACGTGAAGCTCCAGGGCGGGGTGAACTTGGTCCCCGCCGCTTTGCCGGGCACAGACGGCTGTCGTCCGATCTGGGCTGGTTTGGCGGGTTGGTCCTTCTTCTCCTTCTGTGGGGGCTGGGGCTTCGCCTTGTCTCCACCGCCGGCGGCCTTGGCGGCGTCAGGCTTGCTCGAGCTGCCGGCGGGGCCGGCGGCGGCGGGGGGCGGTCACGGAGCACGGCCGAGGGCCGTTTCTCCACCACGGAGGGCGGTGGGGGCGGCGCTGACTGGGGTCGCTTGGCCGGTTCGGGGACGGACGGTTTCCGCTTCGGAGATGTGGTCGGTACGCCCGGGACCGAGACGGAGGACTGCGCGAAGGGGTGTCCTGCGGGCACGCCTGAGAAGCCCGGCGCCGGCATGCTCGAGTATACTGGGCCTGGGGGGTGCATGCCGGGCAGAGGGAGGGAGGTACGCGAGTACGGCGAGGGCATCGAGATGGACATGGTGATGCGATTATCGGGAGAGGGCGGGGCGGTCTCGGCTGTGTGACGGGGTGACTAAGAGGTTGGCCTACGGCTGTCGGAGCGAAGACGATAAATCGTCAGCTGACCAAGCAGAAGACAGGTCTGGTAACTGTCCCTCGACAATGGAAGTGATGGAGAGCCAAGAGAGATCTTGATGGGGGGTTTGGCCGCGCCTTTGTCTCTCGTCAATGTCTCGCGGATGATCGAACTTGGAGCGCCGGCTGAGTAAGTCGCGGAACGCGAACTCGGTTGCCTCGCTGGGAAGTTGCTGGGCGAAGTCAAGAGTCGGGATGGGAGAGACTGATGATGCGAGCGAGACAGGCCGCACTTAAGAGTTGAGACACGTCCGGCAAGCTCGCAAGCTCTGTCGCAGCTGGCCGACGAGATGGGTGTCACCGGGCCTCGCGCCGCGCGGCCGTGCCGAGATAGCGGCGCGTGGGATAAGCCTGGATGTACGTTGTAATGTGCGCACGGCGACTGCACGACCGAGGCTGGGGGCGGGCCTCGTGACTGCTTGCTGGCGTTGCTGGCGTTCACGCTGGCTGGGAGTTACTGGCTTGCAGGCTCAGCCTTGCTGACCGAGGGAGGAGTGACACAGCTGCCAAGCAGGCTCAAGGTTTGAAACAAAGAACCTCCGAGCACGTCGGACTTGCTCTTCCACCGTGTGGTGGGCACCGGTTGCGTGCTGTTGTACGCGTCGCGCGTGCGTGTGTCGTGTGCTGCGTGTTGTGCCGTTGAGCGGATGTTGAGCGAGTGAGGACTGGTGTGAAGAAGAGTTACGACGACGATGGCCGAGGGGCATCACGAAGTCCCACCGCGAGGACGGACTACTTATGCGCACCCGAGGCGACGGCTCGTGCTCTCGCCAGTCCAGAGCACGCTGAGAGGGGTGTGTGCGTCATGAATTTGTAGAGACGTAGGCGCTCTCGTCTCTCGTTCGTCCTCGTCCAACACGATCAAAGTAGGGAGCAGCAGGGTCTGCGGGAGGGGGTGGATGCTGCGCCGTGCAGCCGAAACCACTCCCTTCCTGACCAGTCGCAACCTGTGGCAGAGCACGGCGTACCAAGCATCCTGGCCGTGCTGGGTGTCGTCTTGGACGGTTGCTGGGCATCCCAGGGCGCGTCTTGGGTGCAGGTCAGTGCGTCTCAATCAATGACGGTGTTGGCGCGCGCTGGCTGCTGGCGGGCGCGGGCGTGCGCCACAGCTGGCTTTGACCGCCGCCCAGGAGACTGGCGACCGCCTCACCAGCCCTTCCAAGCCCCGAGATCCAATAGGGTGGGGTGAAGCTGCACCGTGTGCGAGGCCAGCAAGGAGGTGCTGTATCAGCAGCATCTGGGCCGGTCCTATCGTAAGTTAAGCGTATCAACCAGTGGTCAATGGTCAGGATGCATAAGGATGGCTGAGGATCTGCTCCGGGGCAAAAGATTAATGAAATGCCTCAACCTGGCTCAAACTTTCCCGATGTTCCCCCCTTGGCAGGCCGGGCCAACGTGCGTCCTCGCTCCCCACTTCTCCCTGTCGAATTCGTGCATGAAAATCCCAAAAGTGTGATCAGCTATCGAGAGAGGCGCGGCCGGCGCTGTCTCAGGCGTACAGTGGCCAGCCCCGCGTCCGGCCTGGGTTCCATTCCTGCTCGGCCCTGGACCTGGCGCACAACCCTCCGGACCGGTACCCGTGCTGGATCCACTGCATCAGGCCGAGCCAACTCGTGTCGTCTGCATGGACTTTGTGTCACCTACACACCTGCACACCAGTGCATGCATGCGAGCCTGTGTGCATGTCTGACATTGTGATCCTTCTGCGCAGTGATGCGGGATGGCATGATGGCTGTGAGACAAGGAGGTTTCCACGCTGTCCGAGGAAACGTCTCGCGTCGTATCGACCCACCTCCCTCGTCGCTCGGAAGGAGAGAGCGTACGGCAGAGCGACGGAGGCCACCGAGCACAGCAGCACGACGGCCCAGGCTGTCACCCCCACCGTACACGGAGCGCCAGGACCTGTCACGGGAGCGACCTTTGTCGTGCCAGTGGCATGGCGTTGTCGACTGTCCGGGTGATCGGTGCCTCTACGCCACCAGACATGTCCGGGATGGACGCCGCAGCGATCAAGAACGTCTTGCATTCCTCCGCGCGCGAGGAGGCTGCGAGGAGGCTGACACCAGTGACTCTCTACAGACGATGGGTCCAGCGCCAGTCAGGTAAAGTAAGGAGGGCAGGAGCATCTTATGCGGAGGGGCGGCGCAGACGCCGCGGAAAGTGCGCATGAACGAGCGGCGCCGTGGTAGCTCGAGTGTGCACTTGAGGGCAAGGCAGGGTGCTTATTTTGCGAATCTAGACAGTCTGGCGGTTCGATTGCCCGGATACTGGATACTCAGTGGTACAACGTAGGCGGAGGCATGCACACTCTCCTAGCGTACTTGCCACTCCGAGTCACACCACTTTCACCGGCAACTCACTACCGTAGTCCCATGCAGACAACACTAGACCATAGTCTCACCAGCGAGCCAGTGGACACGGAGCTGTGTCCCATTCCTCACGACTGCGTCCTATCGAAATTGGCAGTTGCTTGAGTCGCCGCACCATATTCGCCGCACACTATACCACAGATTCTGATGCAGATTTTCGATGCAAGCCTTCGAGAACACGAGAAGCAAACAGTGCTCGAGACACTGGCGTGTGCATCACCACCCACGGCGCGGAACACCGGTGTGAGTGATCGGCTCTCGGGTTCTAGTCGCGGATGACTCAAAATATTGCATCAAGTGCCACCCGATGGGTCGCTGACTAGCGTCTGAGTCATGCTCCACCGTACGCTGAAATGTCGGTATGCACCAACGTAAGCGGAGTTTGGGTGGACGGAAGTTTTTTTGCCACCCGGTGCTAGGACGCACTCCACCACACACCAAACTGTTTGCCACCCAACACGCCCAAACAGGCACCCGACCCACACAAGACACGGATCGTAGCCACCATGAGGGCTTCTGCTGGTGTGTGTATGCAGTGAGACAGCTCACGATGCGTGTGATTGCAGTGTCCCGCCAGAGCACTGATGAGATGCAGCGCAAGCACACGAAAAGTGAGCGCCCAGCAAGTTCTACACGGATGCAGAATTCACTGAACGCAAAAAAGCCCACCCCAACTCGCAGAGAGGAACTCTGCAAGCCAGGATGGGCTCTTTGCACAACAGACAAACGGTTCTCGGAGAGCGCCGGGCGACTGTTGTAATAATAAAGAGGGGAGCATGAGGAAAGGGACGGAGAAAAAGAAGAAGCAGGAGTTCGGAAAGAAGAAGAGGAGGGATAGGTGCAGGTGCGGTTAGGAGAGGCAGCGGATAAAAGAAGAAACAGGAGTGCGGAAAGAAGAATATAGGGGGGATATGCAAGGAAGACGAGTGTCAACAGCATGCTTCAAACGTAACCTGTCACTGCGCGCACCCTTACTGTGTTTGTGATGGAACTCTTCCAAAGAGAACCTTTGACGTCCTTTCGTTTCCATCATCGATTCACCGGTTTGCCGATTGAAAGCAGACAACTGGATCGTTGATCCGGTTCCACTTTTGTTGGTCAAGTTGGCGAGTCGCACTCAAGATTCGTTAACTGATTGAGACCAAACACTGGCAAGGGTTGCGCAGCGCATAGAGCCGAACAGTCCTCAACTGTCCTGCTGTGTAAATGAGAGAAGACGGAATCCCAACGCCACAACCCGGCTCACAGGGACTCGCTCACGCACTCGGGTCGCGTACAAGCGCTACTTCAGGACCGACGACAGACGTGAAGGTCAAGAGAGGTTGCGCAGACGCATGGAAGACCGTTGTTATGCTCGCGATGTAGCCAGGCGGGGGAAGGCGATCGTTTCTCTAACAATCGTCCAATGAAAGACGGATGGTGAAGATAGGCCACACGGTAGAAAGAAAACCAAAGAAGAAAGAAAAAAGACGACAGTACCTTGAACGGAGTTGTCCTTGTTCCTCCCGAAGACCGAAGTCGCGACAATGAACGGTAGTTCTAGTCCGAAACGAATATCCAGGTGGAAAGATGCCAAACGATCGTGGGGACGGTCGCGGTCCTCGATAATTAACCAAGCGACGCAGTCACCCTTGTCGAGTCGATGGGTTCGATGATTTTCAACTGGCTGTGCGGTAACCAAAGAGGCCTTGACGTTGCAGAAAGGAGACCTCACCTTATGCGTAAGCACAGGCAACCAGACAGGTAACCAACATTAACCGAAGGTCATGGTGGGGATACGAGGGTTATGCCTCGCCCGGTAGTCGAAATCGGTGCGCTGCAAACATGCAGCGTCGAGCTCGCCGGACGCTCAAGTGCTGAGGCTGTTGTTGCAGCCTGATGTCGATGAAGACATGGTTGAAAGAGAGAGTGGGTGGTTGAACGAAATGTCGAACAGAGATGAGATGTAGATATAGAGATGTGTGAGGATGCAAGATAGAGTAGACCGAGAGTGTGTATAATGGATCGCCCGCCGCCGCTGGGATACCCAGAAGGGGCAAGTGCCAGGCTGGGGTATCCAAGGCCAGCGTAGGCTGGCCGGCCTTGTCAGGCATGGGACCCGAGGGGTCGCCGCACACATACGGCAGCAGGGGAAGGCACTGGGCCAGAGGGGGGACTGGCTTATGCAGTGCACCGACGGTGGCAAACGCGGAAGCAGATCCAGCCATAACCAATGTTGGCTGGTGATTGGAAATTGGTTTCGTCACCCATGGCTGGTATGCCTGACCGCTGCGGTGCGGGGTGAGGGCGCCACGGTACGTGGTTTGAGGACCAGACTAACGGAGTCTATTGTGTGTGCATAGTACGGGTGGTTTAGCGTCGTCATGTGAGGGTTGGCCCGGGCTTGAACGGGCTGGGCGTCCCCACCATTTGGCTTCCAAACGAGGGGGGCACGTTTAAGAGATGCTTCAGCCTATTGTATTGACCAGTCACAGATGCCAGCAAGTGCGACAGTCCGCGGCCCCGAGAGTTAGACAGCTGAGACAGTGCGCGTCCTGGTGTCCACGGTGAAGCCGACTGGGCGCGGACTCTATTCTCGGTGGCGAGATAGCCATTAGCCATTCCGGCCCCCTGCCCAGTACCCAGCGGTCTGGCAGCCTGCGGCCGCCAGGAGACAAGGCGGCCGGCTACCCCGCATACCTCACCGCCCATCGGACGAAGGCGAGTCAGCTGTTCACAACAGCCACCATGCGTACCATGCACGCACGCACGCACCACGAACAATCGGTGCACCTTATCGCCCCCACAGTTGTCTATGGTCACGCCCACCAATTCAGTCTTATCGTCATGCATCATGGAGCGCACGACGTAGCCCAGACCGCCTTCCCCAGATAGTGAGCTGATTGCCAACGCGTATCACGCTGCAACACAGTGCGCTATGGTATGCGTTCGCCCGATCGCAGTCACCCGCTGCAGTCACCAACATCCGGTCAAGGTTGTCAGAAGGCCGAGGGCCGGGCGGGGTTGGCGGGGGCTCCAGTTACAGAGCCAAGAGGTTGAAGCTACTGCTGTGCTCTGCGGACGTTGTGCAGCTACTGCCCTGTGTCATCTCGCCCCGTTCGGCCGTGCGAGTTCATCCACTCATTGAGTCTGATTTTGCCGTTAGCGGTCTATGCGGGTCCGTCAAGCTTCGGTGGAGCGTGCAACCCTCGTGCATGGCCGCCAGCTCAGTCGCAGATTCCATACAAGGGTGGGGGTGGCCGTGTGGATCACCGATCGGGTATCTCATGGTTACTCGAAGGCATGCTTCTTCCACACTCCCCGCACCCCGCCCGGTTGTGGCACAGACCGTGTCTTCGCTACCGGCCCATTTACCCACCGAACGTCAGCCGAACCGATATCTAAGCCAACGCAAGCCACAGTCATGTACTCCCAGGTCATGCAACGGTCGTTCCACTCCAGGGAATGACTTGATGCACTATACTTAGCCACCCTTTCAGCGAGCAGCGCGGTTACGGTATGGGGAGGGCGAATCGGAATCGACAGTCACAAGCCGCCCGTGCACATCTTGTCTCATGTTTCGTTTGCCTTGATTCCAGAATTCAACGCTATGCTGCTTTGTTCTTTTCGTCAATCGCATCCGCTGCGGCTGGAGCTGGACCGATGTGGTCGGAGACTGGTCTGGATCCCGTTGCAAGGGAGCAACGGGGAAACAATGGTCGCAGAAGCTTCATGATATTCGTGTCAAAGCTCCCGGCACTTTGAACGAACGGGTCCACCGAAGGCCGGGCCAACTGTGCTCCTTCGCAACACGTTCCGCGCTTCTGAATTCTGAACCCAAATCAAGCAGCCTGCCAACCTTCCCGTTCCAGAGAACAGAGGCTTACCCATTGCGAGCTACAGGCGGCCACTTCGATGGTGATCTTACGCACGTGATTGACTGAGCACGTGGGCAGATCCTTTTAGTTTTACCACGATCGAACAATCAAGTGAATGATTGCCATGGATTTCCCACGGTCTCCGTCGCAGGGCGGGGGGTGTTGTCCGCCGTGGGAACTTGAATGCGACCATGCAGGCAATCCGTTGCCCTTGGGTCACGTGTAACAGTCACGTGCTACTCACGTGCACATGGCTGCTGATAGCTCTGGCGGATGACGTAACGTCGATCACCGCCTGATGTCTGCAGACAGATGTCGAGGTGATGGACACTTGTCACTTTGTCCTGATACTGGGAGCTACCCGTTTTCCGGAGGCAGTGTCTCGTTGCTATTCCTGTTGGAAGTCGAGACCTCGGACATTCTGCGTCACGCACGCTCGGGTGGCACATGCGTCGACAGTGGAATTCCACAGCTTGCAGCGAGAAGATCGTTGTGGTCGCATCTCGCAGAGCGCTCGACTGTTGCCGTCTGAGTCTTCTATCCGCGAAACTTACCTTCCTAGAGCCACGGGTCATGAATTACAAGTGTTCAAGTAGCCTCCAGTCGGTATGTGTGCTGTTCCGGATGAGCGCGGGATCTCGAGGGCCACTCCACTCGTCCCAAGTGACCGATGTCAGTCGTCTTCAGACGACACTTGGGCGCTCTCGGGGTCAGTAAGTTTCTTCGCGCGGTAACTCCTACGAATGAGGGGAGGAGAACAGAACGAGTGCAAGAAACTGTCATGGGGTGCCACGGGGAACGTGAGGGGTGGCGATTTATCAACAACGAACCCTCTCATATTCTCTGCGAACAGACATTGTGCTGCATTGCCCGTACAAGGAACCTGTCTCCTACATAGAACAGACCTGAGATCAAGCTCGGCAGAGCTGCCTAGCCTATCCTGTGGGATCGGGAAGCAGGAAGAGCTAATGCGAGCACCGTGAACGAGGAAGGACGGGATTGAGAGCACGCGGCAGCCACGGAGCCACTAGCCACTGATGTGCATGATGTGGAGGGCTGGGCCCCCACCTTGGCGCGCCAGCACCGCCAGGTGATTACGAGAGCAGGGTCGGGCAGGGGCACCTCCACCTGGCTGATGCCTGGAACGCGCCTGCCAGCGCAGGCCGACCATCTCGAAACAACGCAGCAACAGGCAAGAACTGCTGACTGCATGCACAACCCCAGCGCAGAAGGCGAAGGTCCGCACTGAAGATCCCCACATTCGAGATGCGACGCGCACTGGCTCGGAATCGAGCCGAGGTGACATCAATCGGGTTCCCGCCGGCATGTCTGAAATTTCGACCCTGAAGGACGACTGACATCCAACCACGACACTTACTGCAAGCGGACGATCCGGCCTTCCTCCCACACATCGTTCACACTGGCACCGCATTCTTCTTCTTCCTCTTCCTCCTCATCACCACCTCTTGAACAGTGGACATCTGTGAGATAGCCTCCAGTGATTGACCACCGTTCAGAGACACCGATACCCCTTCTGACCGATTTCCGAGTTCCGTCGATCACCCAGCCACCTACACCTTTCCCCACATCGGTCTACGCTTCCCTGTGCAGCAACAGCGATGTCGTCCAAGACGACCAAGGCGCCCACCGCCGCCAACGGAAGGCCACGTCCCCCGACGCTTCCCATTCCCGACCCTCCCAAGAGCATCCCGTCCGCGCCGACGAGCGCACGAACTCCTCGTACCCCCAAGACACCGCAGGATGAAGCCTTGAACTACTTCGCTCACGGCGACAGCACAGTTCGCGTCTGGGAACTCGAGCTCAGTGAGGACGGCGGTCCCGGCAAGGAGAAGAGTGTACGTTAATGGTCGCTTGCCGTGCGTGCTAACAGCCCCAGTACGTCCGCCTGCCTCCGCCGACAACGCCATACGTGCTGCGCTTCACCATCCACCCGGGCGCCAGCTGTACCCGGAATGGTGTGCTCAAGAGCGACTTCCCCATCGACGGTGGAGTGTTCGAGCGCGGCATCTGGAAAGAGCGCAAGCTCCCGGAAGACCTGAGCAAGTGAGTGGTGGCTAGAGCTGCGCCTGTGGATCTGGTCCTGACGGCAGACCTGTGCAAGTGGATCTCCCGATCTCGGCACCCGGCGCATTCTGCTACTACATCGAGTACGACGACGAGGAAGGCAACCGCCGCAAGTCGCCCGAGGGCTATTTCAACGTTGACCCCATCATCTCCCTGCCTGCTCGTCAGACGTTTGAGATCCAGCCCGGAAAGGATGTGCTCAACGACTCGAAGTCGGGAGCGGTGCTTGCCCAGAGCACTGCCGTGCCCCTCGACGGCCTCATCATCCTCTCGATTATTGCCAAGTGGCAGGGGAAGGTTACTGACTGGGACAAGTACTACACCGAGTACAGCCGGAGGGGTTACAACATGATCCACTACACGCCTCTGCACCCGCGAGGCAGCTCTGGTAGCCCTTACTCCATCACTGATCAGCTCTCGTTTGACCCGACTCTTCTGTCGAACCCCAAGGCCAAGGACGGAGGGCAAGCCGAGATTGAGCAGGTCATCGCGCATGCCAAGGAGACGTACGGCCTCGGAAGTATCACCGATGTCGTTCTCAACCACACTGCCTTTGACGCACCGTGGCTCGAGGACCACCCAGAAGCAGGTGAGTAATGCCCTGCCCGTTACGCTGACTAATGTCAGGCTTCTCCCCCCACAATACCCCGCATCTCGCCCCCGCCGTCAAGCTCGAGGACGCCATGCTCAAGCTCACTGGCAAGCTTGCTTCGCAAGGACTGCCTACCGAAATCAAGTCCGAATCCGACCTCACTGCCCTGTCCAAGGCCATCAGCGGAGCTATCGCGCAGGCGAACCTGTGGCAGTACTATGCCATCGACGTTCAGAGCGAGGTCAAGGGGGTAGAGGATGCGCTCAAAAGCGGCAAGCCCGTGAAGTGGTCCGGCGAGTCTCTGGAGGGCAAGACGCCGGAAGAGCTCGCCACCATTGCGGTCTCAACGCCTGGGTTCATCGAGAACTATCGTGCCTACGCGGCTCCGTTCTGCACCAAGATCAAGCCCGAAGCAGGCGCCGGCTTCATCCAGGCTGCCTACCCCAACGAGGACGTGGGCGCTCAAACAAAGGCGTGGGGCAAGGTTCTCGACATTGTCAACGTCGACCTCTACAAGGAGTGCGATGAGGACCTGAAGGCTGCCGAGGAGAGCATTGTTGGTCGCATCAAGTACACCAGGCTTGACGACCACGGCCCGAAGTGGGGAAAGATCACGAAGGAGTAAGTCGTCGAGACGATCGAAACTGACTCCCAGTTCGCCGTTGGTTGAACCTTACTTCACGCGCATTCCGAAGAACAGCAAGACGGCTCGCTTCCCCGAGGAGGCTCTGGCCGTTGCCAACAACGGCTGGATGTGGGCCGCCGATCCCCTCAAAAATTTCGCCGAGTATCCTTCGAAGGCTTACCTCCGTCGCGAGGTCATCGTCTGGGGCGACTGCGTCAAGCTGAGGTATGGCAAGGGGCCGGAAGACAACCCATGGCTCTGGAACCACATGACAGAGTACTGCGAGACCTTGGCGGGCATCTTCGACGGCTTCCGTCTGGACAACTGCCACTCGACCCCGTTGCATGTCGCCATCCATATGATTGACGCCGGCCGCCGAGTCAACCCCAACCTCTATGTCATGGCGGAGCTGTTCACGGGCTCCGAGGAGATGGACGTCAAGTTCGTTCGTGAGCTCGGAATCAACTCCCTGGTCCGTGAAGCATACAATGGAGGCGACAACAAGGAGTTCTCCCGTCTTCTCTACCGATACGGTGTCGGGAAACCCATCGGCTCAATGGACTCTGCGGTTCTGTCCAGCCCGGGGGAGCTCCCGCCACTTGTGGCGAACAGCGCTCCGCGACCGTGCATTATCACTCCTCTCCAGGGCTCTGTCCCCCACGCTGTCTTCTACGACGTGACCCACGACAACGAGTCCCCCGCCGACAAGCGCACCGCCGAGGACGCCCTCAGCACGGGCGCCCTTGTTACGTTCACCAAAGCTGCTCTCGGATCGAACAAGGGCTTTGACGACCTGTATCCGAAGTTGCTGAACCTTGTCACGGACTCGAGGCTGTACAACGTCAGCGGCCCCGAGGAGAACGGCATCGGTCGCGTCAAGCGTGTTTTCAACTACCTCCACACCCAGATGATGGAGGGCGGCTACGAGGAAGGTCACGTCCACGAGGAGGGACAGTACATCATGATTCACCGTGTGCATCCGCAGACGCATAAAGGTTACATGCTCGTTGCCCACACCGCCTTCAAGGGAGACCAGGGCCGAGGATTTGTGAACCCGATGAAGCTTTCGCGCACGAAGGTCCAGTACATCTTCGGCGTCAGCCTCCGTACCCGAAGAGAAGAGTGGAAGGACGACGACAAGGTGCACTACGGCATCCCGTCCACCCTGGAGGAGATCCCCGAGAACGCAGTGAAGATCGCAACCGGCCAGGACGACAACGGAGACTACTCCGAAGTCGTTGTTCCCGAGCGTTTCGACCCGGGCAGTATCATGCTCTTCCGGACCGACATGGATGAGATGTCGCCGGATCTCGACGAGTACTGTAAGGAGGGCGCGGACGCTGCGATGGCGGACCTAGACCTCGTTGACTTGAACGTTGTCCTCCACCGTGCCGACGGTGAGGAGCGCGATGCCACGTCTGGTGCCGAGGGAACTTACGACATCCCCAACTACGGCAACCTCGTCTACTGCGGCCTCGAGGGTTGGATGGCGCCCCTTCGCGACATCATTGCTAACAACGACCTCGGCCACCCCCTCTGCGAGCATCTCCGACAGGGCCCCTGGGCGCTTGATTACGTCGTGAACCGACTGCAACGCGACGCCGAAACCTTGCCGCACCTGTCTAAGCCGGCAGCCTGGTTCAAGGGTCGCTTCGACGTGATCAAGAAGACTGTTCCGTCCTTCATGCGCCCGAAGTACTTCTCGCTTGTCATCTTCGAGGCTTACAAGGCCGGTCGTCGGGCGGTCATGGAGCAGATGTCCGAGCACATTCTCACTGGAACTGAGTTCACTCACGACCTAGCCCTCTGCGCGGTGCAGATGTACGGCCTGGTCAAGTCTGCCAGCATCAACCCTGCAAAGCCTGTGCCGTCTCTCGCGGCAGGTCTGCCTCACTTCACCGCAGGCTGGGCTCGCTGCTGGGGAAGAGACGTCTTCATCTCTTTGCGTGGACTCTTCCTGACGACCGGCAACTTCACCGCTGCTCGTGACCACATTCTCGCTTTCAGCTCCACCCTCAAGCATGGTCTCATTCCCAACCTGCTTGACTCTTGCCGAAACCCGAGATACAACAGTCGTGATTCGCCCTGGTGGATGATCCAGAATATCCAGGACTACACCAAGATGTGCCCGAACGGCCTAGATATCCTCAAGGACTCTGTCAAGAGGCGCTTCCCGAAGGATGACACCTGGGTCCCTTGGGACGACCCCAAGGCGTACGCTTGGAGCTCCACCATCGCGGAGATTATCCAGGAGATTGTACAGCGCCACGCCGAGGGCATTGAGTTCAGAGAATACAATGTGAGTTGCAGAGTTCCAGTGGGGTTTCAGGGCTGACATGCAGGCTGGCCCCAACCTCGATGGCGACATGAAGGACGAGGGATTCAATCAGAAGATCTGGACTGATTGGTCCACGGGTTTCATTCATGGTGGTAACCGTTACAACTGCGGCACCTGGATGGACAAGAATGGTTCTTCCGAGAAGGCAGGCAACAAGGGACTGCCAGCGACCCCTCGCGATGGAGCGCCGGTTGAGATCACGGGACTGTTGAAGAGCACTCTGACCTGGCTCGACCAACTGAGCGCCAAGGGTCAATTCCCCCTTCAAGGGTGTTGACGCGACGGGTGGGTTTCACAACGCGTGCTGTGCAGCTGATGTTCCAGTGGATGGCACCAAGCGCCTGGTGACGTATAAGGAGTGGGCCAACCTCATCCAGGCCAACTTTGAGAAGCACTACTACGTGCCGACCGATGCTGCCGAGGACGGCATCTTCGTCCTGAACCCCAAGCTCGTCAACCGCCGTGGTATCTACAAAGATGTGTACGGCACTCCAGAGGACCGCGCGTTCAGCGACTACCAGCTGCGACCCAACTTCCCACTGTCCATGATCGTCGCCCCCGAGCTGTTCACCCCGGCTCGTGCGATGAACGCCCTGCGCATGGCTGACGAGGTTCTCCGTGGACCGCTCGGTATGAAGACTCTCGACCCTAGCGACTGGGCCTACCGACCGGACTACGACAATGAGAACGACTCGGACGACATGGCCGTCGCGAAGGGCTGGAACTACCACCAGGGTCCAGAGTGGGGCTTCCCTCTGGGCTGGTTCCTCAATGCTTGGCTCAAGTTCGACAGGGAGGCCGGCGATGGTGTCCACGACGAGAAGAAGACCCTCTACAAGGTGGGCAACATCCTTCTGAAACTGAGGGAGCACATTGAGCACGATGCCTGGCGCGGTCTGCCCGAGCTGTGCAACGCGGGCGGCAAGTACTGCAAGGACTCGTGCGAGACTCAGGCCTGGAGCGCCAGTACGATCCTGGACGTGCTCGAGTCGATGCACAAGATCGGTAAGAGCCAGCAGCCTGCCGGTGCTGCTAAGGCGGCCCCGACCAAGGGGACCTCGTCAACTGGCACAAGCCAGCAGGCAGCCACGGCCAGTTCCTCCAAGGCCCCGGCCAAGCAGACGTCGACGGCCGGTCGAAAGGTCTAGGAACTCGTCCAGGTATGGGAAGGTCGGGTGCAAGCGATGAGCGAGAAGCGACAACGGCGGTTGCGCAGTAGGAAGACGTTGTAGAGTAGCCTGTAAGGCGATGAAGCAGCCAGTCACCTATACCTGTGTGTCCATAGAAATCATGCATTTGAATTACAATCAGTCACCAGTCAAGATTAGCAGTCAGTAATTTGGGTATGCAGGAATCAGCAAGGGGCAGTGGGACGGTAACTTAGTCGACGTCCATAGTGGGTCGTGATAGTTTCTGGGTCATGCTAATCTCTGCGCTCTCAGTGAAGAGTGGGAGTGCGCGCGTGAGAGCGCGTACGTGTGGAGGACGACTGTCGTCTGCCCCACTACTGTGCGTCGATTCATTCATCATTCTGTCATTTCAGTCATTGTCGAGATGTCCTGTACGTTTGCTCCTGTGACATCCGCTCGCTACATTACCTACCTGCTCATGTTCCGAGATCCGAGAATTTTTCACCTAGCATCTCTCGTCGCATATCGAATATCGCGCAATTGGATTATTTGGAACAGGACCAGACCGAGACTCCGACGTCAGCGTACCGAGAGCACCGAGACATGTCGCTACGACAATCACAAAAGGTGTAGGGGATCTGTTGATCGAGGAATGAGGCTGCGCGAGGGTGAGGTGGTCGCCGAGCGCGCCGGCGGCGGCCCGGCGAGTGTACGAGAGTGTGCTGCGGGCAGAGTGCAGACAACGAGACTGTGCCAGGTGAGCGGACAGATCACGGATCAGGGGTCGCCAGGTCAGGGCCATTCAGGACATTCAGGAGAGATTAAGCAGCAATCAGGGCAATCCGGCGAGGGAAGCAAAAACGATGAATCGCGCGTAAACGTCCAGGCACGTACCCTGCGCCCGGCTACGAGAAGGGATCGTCCGCCCCCCCCTAGGAACCTTAGAAAACCTGGGACAAGTGAGCCAGGAACACGCTAGCTGCTCCCAGCGCTTCCCATATTTGCCTTTTTGTGTGCCGCTGTGTTTTTAATTTGCCTCCACCCAATCAACCAAGTACCGAGTTTAGCCAGTTCATTTTAGCTCACCGTCACCGTCTAGCGCGTCTAGTTCGTGCATATGAAAGTGGCCGTTGCAGTGACGTCAGGGGTCACTTTCAGGTCCGACACGCTGATAGCATCCGATGTCCGGTGCCGACACGGCGGAGTTGCTGCTCTCCGCGCCCCCAGTCGTTCACACGACGACGCGATCGCACAGTTACCCCTCCACCTGCCTCAACCACCATACACTGGCCAGACTGGCTGGGAACCATCAGCATTCATAATCATGTCACCTAGGTGTTCATGCAGATCTCGACCCAATTCTTGGGGCAAACGTCGCTTGAGAAGCTCCAGCACGCTTGGGAACGCATGCCTCGCTACCAACCTTGCATGCCCGCTGATCCGCTGACACGGGTAGGAGTGTTGGAGCCGCTGCACCATGCACCAACGGCACAGCCGTCGACGAGTTCCATTTCTCAGAAGCTCAGATCGATTCTCAGAATAGTATCCTCCCAGAGGTGTTCAAAGGAGGTGCGCCACACCGCATTCACGCATCGCAGCGCATTTGTAGCGCATGTACCTGGTACAGTTACTTCCTCGCCGAGACAGGACGTACCTTGAGCAAGGAGTACCTCGGTGCAACCTATGCAAACCATGGATGTACAGGGGGCGGGTACGCGCACGCATGAGATTCCGCGATCCGTTGCGCGATCCGTCGTGCGATCGAAACCTCTCCTCGGGAATGAATAGCGGAGAGCCGGGCTTGCTCCACTGTGGGTCAAACTATGGATTCCCGGGAGGTATGCCGGGTGGCACGTACATTGCTGCTGCTGCGCGGTGCGGTCGGCGCACAGCATAGCTGGTAAACTGGTTGGTCGCCGCCGTGCTCGTGCCGACGGTGCCGCTGGAACGAGGTGCTCCGTAACGAGGCCGCCAAGGCCTGTTGCCGACGCACCACTACGACGGAATCGGAGGCGGAGCAACGTGCCAAGTCGGTCGTGGGAGGCCAGGGGGTCGGGCATGCATTCACCCATGCATTGAGCGCGGAATCTCCGGTCACTTCTGCATCAGCCACACCACTCCGCCACTCCACAGCCGTTCGTGGCGGAAACTAAGGATACCCGTTCTACTAGCGGGCGCCGGTTGCCATGCACGTCGTCGTCGCGATTGCATGCTTGGAACCAAGCAACATGCTAGCACGCCACTATCGGAAGAGCGCTTGCGTGCGCGATGGGTGTTGGGTGTTGGCGTCGTCGTCGTCGGAGCATGCAAGGCGGTGCAACGGAATGGCGAGGGGCCGTGGTGTGATCGTGAAGGTTGTTGCTGCACGGCGGCCGCTAACGTACACCACAGACAACCGCTGCAATCTGCAGCCGCAGAGCATAACGTATAACGGTATGGCGGTATCGGCGGCATAACGTACTGCCTGCCCCTGCTTCGATGCTAGCTCACCGAAGCCTGAATGTCACGACTGCTCGCTCACAAAGGAAAGTTTACCCGTTTACGTAACTCTGCTCCCTAGAACCTCATCGCCGAAAGCGATCTCGGACACCCAGAAGGCCAAGTACCGATGGCGGAGGTGGAGGACAAACCCGAGGAAGCTCTGACATCGTTTAGCGTTTCGCAGGGGCCGCTGGGTGGAAGGCGTCGAACGTCTGCAATGCCAACCTACACCGAACCCCGTACCAAGTCGGCGATGGACATGATCTCGTTTACTGGAAGTGCTGCGTATGCGTGCAGAAGGTACCGGCGAAGGAAAGCGCTGAAACTTAATCTGACTTTGTGTCCCAGCGAACTGGTCGAACGATCACGTTCGCTTCGACCACTGACACTAGACGAGCCTGCGAGAATGTCACCACCCCTCTCCCCACTTTTGACTACCTTCTGAGCCAAAAAAAGTCCACCGATCCAACAACTGTCACTTCCAAAACCCGGTTCCTGTCAGAAAGAAGT